GTGGTAGTGGTAGTAGTAGTAGTGGTAGTCGTAGTGGTAGTAGTAGTAGTAGTAGTAGTAGTAGTAGTAGTAGTAGTACTGGTAGTAGTCGTAGTAGTAGTAGTAGTAGTAGTAGTTGTAGTAGTAGTAGTAGTAGTAGTAGTAGTAGTCGTAGTAGTAGAAAAGCGTAGTCGCCGCCGTCTGGGGCGCAACGGGCAACCAGCAAACCCTGGAATTCGGCTCCTTGTCCATGCGAGATGGGTGGCTTTGCTCCCCATTGTTTTCTTCGTCATCGTCATTTGGAACATACAGCTCTGCATCCAAATCGGGATTGGGTTTTGCGCTCGTACAGCCCTTTGGGCAACGATATGACTGCCACGCAATCAGCATGTACTTGCAGTCATCGAGGTCATTGCAACGTCCAGTGCCACTGTGTGCAAGTGAAAGCGTCTCCGTCGACGGTGTTTGCAGCTACTCACTTAGCCATTGGTACACACCGAGCAGTCCAAACAATAAGGCTAGTGGTCATTCAGGAGATGGGCCATCCACTCCTCCCTTTGCTGCTTCGGCAGCTCTGTGAGTTTCACACCCCTTTCCACCAGATCCTGTTCCGCCGCCGACGACCCGGAGTGAAAATCCGTAATCGACTCCATCACGAAGTGTTGAATGGCAAACAGCACCGCCTCAGCTTCTCTGCCGTAGTCGACCGAGACGTGGGAATGCAGGGATCATCAAACTCGTAGCATCCATCTAGCTGGGCATTCCCTGGGCAGTTAGTCGGCATTCCCTGGGCAGTTAGTCGCCATTATCGCATGACGCACTCATACCGCTCATCGACTTGATTGAAGTTCTCGCCGATTGCCAAGTGAGCTAAGATGGGCTAAGTAGGTTCTGGCAGTGACGAAATCACGTCACCTATCTCCACTCGCCGCCGCCCAGGGAAGAAAACGATGAACCCCGATCCGCCAAATGGCTGTCCCAGAGCGTAGAAGGCCGCGCGGGCCACGTACGTGGCCCAGCACGGCCAGGCAGTACCACTACTAGTACTACTACTTCTGCTTCTACTTCTACTTCTGCTTCTACTTCTACTTCCGCTTCTGCTACGGAGCAGCTGCCTCGTTCCGTGCTAAAGCTTTTTCGTTTCACGTACCGAAAAGATTCGTTTCAATTTCCGAAACTCGCGAAAACATGTACTGCAAGGTTTTTGAGGTCCAAAAGCATCCAGCCCCCCCTTCGGCCACAGCGATGGCCGCCCAGATGCAGCGACTGCCATCCTCATTTGAGAATATCCTGGGGCGAGGACCGGTGGAACCGGAAGACAATGTCGAAGCAGGGAAAGCAAAAGAGGACGACATCAAGGCCTGCAAGATCTCGGCAGTATACGTCGAAGATGCAAATGGCCCCTCCCAGAAGTGCTGCGAGAAGGTCGTTTTGACCGTTGGCGTCATCTTGGCTGTTGCGCAAGGGCTTTCAGCTCCAGCGATTGCAGTTTTCATGGGGGAGAGCATCACCACATTGGCGGTCGCAGACCATGCAAAAGAGATAGAGGCGATGACCCCTGAGCTTATCAAGGCACAGAGAACCGGTCACTGCAAAACGTAAGATAGAATTGTAAGTAACTTCGGCAGTTGTGTTTGTCATTACCTAGCTGCAGCAAACAGAGTGTTCCACAAGTTGAACGACCAACATCCATGTCAAACGCTGCACCCCTAGCTGGGTGCATCCGTATACATCGTTTATCCACACCATCACTTCCAAAACTGTCAGATCGCGGGACTGGCGGCCGTCCAATTCTTCCTGGCCTTCGGTTGGCAAAGTTGTCTGGCCTGGGCTGCCGCCAAGCAAGCCCTCCGCTGGCACCGCAGGTTCGTGGAAGTATTACTTTCCTTGGACGCTCCTTGGACAGCACTTTCAGCCTGTTGAGATGTTTGGTGGTTGGCTTCTGCCACAGGTTTCCTGGTACGATGAGCACGACCCGGCGGGAGTTGCATCCAAGCTGGAGAGCGATTCCTCGAATGTTTACCTTTTCATGTCGTCAGCCCTGGGGTTCCTGATTTCGAACCTGGCCCAGTTCGTGGCTGGCCTGCTGTTGGCCCTTTATGAAGGCTGGCAGCTCGCCTTCGTTGTCTGCGCCGTGATGCCCATCTTAATGTGTGCCGGCCATCACATGGGAAAGGGGATCGAGCATCACACAGAGGTGCAGCAGACCAACTTTGCTCGGGCCTCTGCAGTAGCAGAGGAGGCTCTGATGGCCATCCGCAGCGTCGCAGCCTTTGGTGGCGAGGCGCGGGAGGTCGCTCGCTTCGAAAAGGAGCTGATACCGGCCAAGATTGGTGGCATCCGAGCCGTCACGAAGATAGGTGCTGCATGGGGTATCCTCAATGCATTCTACCCATGCTCGTACTCGCTGGCGCTCTGGTTTGGTGGCCATGTCCTCATGTCTGAGGAAAATGCCGGCTTCGAGCCAGCACGCATCATCACGGTCATGTTTCCCTTATGGTCGGTGTTTCAGCCCTGAACGAGTTTAGTGGCTTTGTTCCTGTGATGGCGAGAGCGGCTGTTTCTGCAACAGCAATGAAGCAGGTCATTTGCCGTGAGGCCGGTGAGGCAGGTGCTGTCGAGGCCGGGCTTCCTGCGAACCTGACCGAGGTGGACATCATCGAGTTTCGAAAGGTGAGCTTCAGGTATCCGGCAAAGCTTGACAAGTGGATTCTTCACAGCTTCAGCTTTCGTGCCGAGAAGGGTCAGAAGGTTGCGCTTGTTGGGGAGAGTGGCTGTGGCAAGAGTACCACCATCCAGCTCCTTGAGCGGTTCTATGATCCGAGTGCCGGTGAGGTGCTGGTGAACGGAACTCCTCTGAGCCGGGTACCGACCAAGGCCTGGCGCAAACTTGTTGGCTACGTTGGCCAGGAACCCGTGCTGTTCGCCACGAGCATCATGAGAAACTTGAAGGCCTTGGACAACTCCGTTTCCGATGAGCAGGCGATTCAAGCAGCTAAGGTGGCGCAAATCTATGACACTGTGATGCAGCTCCCAGAAGGCATGGACACACATGTCGGCCCTGGCGGTGGGCTGCTGTCTGGAGGACAGCGGCAACGAATTGCCATCGCGCGTGCCCTGGCAAAGAATCCGCAGGTCTTGCTGTTAGACGAGGCAACCTCGGCTTTGGACAACGAGTCCGAGCGCATGGTGCAGGCAACACTGGATTCTGCTAATGCCACCATGGGACGCAACATTACTACAATATCTGTAGCCCACAGGTTGTCAACCATCAAGGATTCGGACACCATCTACGTGCTTAAGGACGGTTACTGCTGCGAGCAGGGCAACCACGAGCAGTTGATGGCAGCAAAGGGCCAGTATCACAACATGGTTAAGTTGCAACAGGCCAGCAGTGAGGAAACGAAGCACCAGCAAGAGGAACAAAGCGACGAAGACCGTTCCACTGAGGAAGATGATGAAAACGACAAGTTGGTCACCATAGCGTCCTTTGCCAGCAGCCTCGGCCTCGAAGTGCAGAAGACGATCTATGCAGACGGCGCAACGGAAGATGCCGGCGGTCCCGCAGTTTTTTGCCGCCTTCTGCGCCTGATGGGCTCCTGTGGCCGTAGCCTAGCAGTTTTCTTCGTTGGTTTGTGGAGGTACGGTTCTGTCACGGTATGAGAAAACTGTACGAACTTACTGTAGGTCGCTACTGGTGGATCTGGCCAGTGAGTGTCGTCATCATCCTGGCGGGAGCAGCGAGCATGCCGCTGGAAGCTGTCTTGTTCAACACGGCGGTCGTGTCCCTGTCTGAAGCCGCACTGGGCGACTTCGAGGCAATGTATGAGAAGTTGGACACTGCCGTTCTTGGTCTTTCAATCGTCGGTTTGTGCTCGGGAATCGCGGTGTTCGCACAGAGCTACCTGTTTGCGTACAAGCAGGAAAGCTTGTGCATGATCTTGCGCAAGGCAGCCTTTGCCAGGACTGTCTGCATGGACATGTCCTTCTTCGATGCACCAGAGAACCAGACAGGGAGCATCTTGGTGTCCCTCCAGATGCACATGAATCGAGTGGGACAGATGCTGGGCATGCAGCTTGGAAATTCAGCTGCAGCACTCTTCACGTGTGTCCTCAGCATTGGCTTCAGTTTCTTCGGCTGCTGGGAGCTGTCCTTGCTCCTCTTCGGCCTGATGCCTCTTTGCGGCCTCCTTGCCCTCACAGTGGCCGCTTGTGCAGCCCGAACAGATCCTGAGAGGATGGAGGCCTACGGCAAGGCTGGCAAAGCCACGTCAGAGGCCGTGACCTCCATTCGCACTGTGAAAGCGATGGGAGCAGAAGAACACATCATGGAAGTGATAGACGAGTCCCTGAATAAGCTGACAGAACTTAACACTGCGAGGTCTTGGAGGCTGGGTCTGTCCCTGGGCCTGAACTTGGCCCTCGTGCAGCTGATCTTCCTGGCAGGCTTTTCCATGAGTGCTGTTTGCATTCAGAACTGGGGCTTCGATGCTGGCCAGGTGCTGATGTCGCTTTTTTGCGTGGTGTTTGGTGTGAAGTCGATTACCTCGATTGTGCAACACATTCCAGATGCTGCATCTGGCCGAATTGCAGCTATGGAGGTTTTCCGTCTTGTCGACCAAGTCTCCAAGATCGATGCCACACAACCCACAGGACGTATCGAAGACCTTGGGGATGGGTCCATTGAGTTCAAGGAGGTGCGCTTCCGGTATCCGCACCGTGCCGAGGTTCGCTGTCTGCGGGTGCGATTGCTCAAGCATTTTTTTAACACTTGATGGTCGCTGCTTTCATCGAGTTTTGTGTAGAGTCCAAGACCATTTATCCCAGGCCTTGGGTTACCAGGAAGGTCTGGGTTCGCAGACGAGTAACTGTCCTTGTCTTGGCCGCGAACTCCGCAGACATCTGCAGGAACTTAGGAAAACAGTTCGGAACCTGTAACCTGCATGCAAATCACCATAGATCACCACTGAATTCTGAAGGCAGGATGTCGAGAGATAAGGCACGCAGGAAAGCACCCCTCTTGAGAGGTCCGGGTACTGAAGAACATCAGCTTCACCATTGCGAAGGGCCAGTCTGTTGCCTTCGTGGGCTCCTCGGGGAGCGGTAAGTCCACAATCATTCAGCTGCTGCAGCGCTTCTATGACCCTCAGAGCGGCTCCATTCGCATCGGGGGCACTGAGCTGAAGGACCTGAGGGAGGGCCCTTCGCGAAACCCGAAAAGCTACCTCCCCCCCCCACAGAGAAGCATGAACCATTTGCAGGAGCTGAATGTGGCGTGGTGGCGTCGCCAGGTCGGCATGGTTAGCCAGGATCCTGTGCTCTTCGATTTGTCCCTGGAAGAGAACGTCAAATATGGCTACCCCGAGGCCACAGCCGCGGAGTTACTCGAAGCAGCGGAGGCGGCGCACATGGACTACGTCCTTTCTGGCGCAGTGAAGTGGAGTGATCGCATGGGCCTTCGTGGTGAAAAGCTGTCCGGGGGACAAAAGCAGCGCTGTGCTTTGGCCAGGGCCTTGATCCGGAAGCCCGAGGTCCTGCTCCTGGATGAGGCGACCTCCGCTTTGGACTCCGTGTCTGAACAGGTCGTCCAAAGGGCCATGCAGGAGGCAAGGTTGGGCAGGACCACCATCACGGTGGCACACCGACTTTCTACGATTCGGACTTCAGACAACATTTTTGTGATTTCCAACGGCCGGCTCGTCGAATCGGGCACTTACGAGGAGCTCATCGACCGCGATGGCAACTTTGCCAAGTTGGCTGCTGGAAGCCTATGAATGCCTAGGACTTTTTGCGAAGTCTCCACGGGGCCGCAGTATTTGAAATTTCTAAATTCTCTTAGATGCTAAGTAATAGCGTGCGATGGCCTTTCGTGGAGAGTCCAAAGGGAAAGGAATGCTGGGATCTCAAGCCATCGTCAAAGCCAAGTACGGTATCCCTATGTATCCCTCAATTTAGGATTCCCCACAGTCTTTCCCTGCGTTCCCGGCTACGCCCGGGTGCACGCATCCGCTCAATGGGCAAGCTGTGCACGTCCGGGCTACAAACGCTGACCCGGCGACGACGCTGCTCGCCAACACCAGCATGCCTTTAACAGAATTCGTGGCAACTTCTGGGTTCGGTCAGGATAGTTCGGGCTGTGGGCCTGGAATTCCATGTCTAGGCTCCGAGGCACATGCCGAGTCCATTGTACTCGCCTTCACTTCAGTCACAGCCCGACGCACAGTGACCGATACCCATGTGTTTAGTGGACACCACATAGACGTCCCAAGAATTCAACGCAAGCTTTGTCCACCTGTGGCAAAAGCTTGGCCGTGCAGGCCAGACCCATGTGCTCTGTTCGGACAGAACCTAGCATCAAACAGACCACTCCGGCTTTGGTCACCCAAGCCGTTTCGTTCGACCACGCAGTCGCACTGCCTTTCGGTGTGAGGCTTGAAGGAAGCATGCTCGCCGAGCTGAAGTCTTCAGCTCAAGGATTGTGACTTGGTAAATGCGCGAGTGTACATTAGTTGAACCTTTCGTGCAAGGCCTGAAATCTCAGATGTCTTCCAAACAAGAGCAGCCTCCCCATCGGCCAAGATACCATGCTTGGCCAGAGCAATGCACCGTCTTAAAGGTTGCGGTGGCCACCATTTCGCCATTTCTGCAGGCTCAGCAACTGTGTCGTGCAAGACAGCTTTCACGATAGGTTAGATGGCAAGAGTGGACATTCATATCTCGTGTCTTCGCGATGCTAGGTACCCGGTCGGACTTCATCATTACACAACATCTGGAATTCAGCCAGTGAGCAAGGCTCGGCTCTCAGAGGCACCATCAGTTGTCTGCACTTCGCTGCGAACTGCATACACGAGTTACAAGTTCTGGATTGACCGAACTGGGTTCAATTTTTCTGAGATCTGGCAAGGACCCAGACATCAGTTGGACACCAGTCGATGTGCTTCCCGCATCAACAGGACATGCAGCGGGCCAATCACAGATTTCGCTGCAGGGGCCACGATTGGCAGCTACGTAAATCACATCAGGCTAGAGCATGATGCCGGGCATGTTTGTCATATTCATGGTTCGACGTGTCCGAGGGTGGAAGTCAGAAGATTTAGGCGTTATGTCTGTGTTCGCAAGTTCATGATTTTAACTTCGCCTGTGCATACCAGTCTTCAAATTGTTTGTGGTTTTAGCTTCATGGTGCTTGCCGTTCCTTGCTGACGCATAGTGCTGATGCATGGCTTCCGGTCTATCCCCGAAACCTGCCTACAAGACTGTCCGACGGAACTGCATTTCGAGCCGGAGTGGTGCTCTGTTGCAGCAGCAGGGCGTTCGGTGCACACTGTTCCACCGTTCGGAGGCATGCTGTGGAGCTTAAGCTCATAACGCTTTCGCAGTCGTGACAGGAGCTTCGTCCTGCAGTGCTTCGATGAAAGTCTCTCCCTCGCCTTCGTGGGCTTGGGGCTTGAGATGCTTGAGATGCTTGAGTCGGCTTAACAGAACCTCACAAAACCCAATAGCAAGTTGTTTCGCTGCCCAGGCCGCTGAAAGATCCTCGGAAGACCGCTGCTGGCACTGATCAGACAAAGCGCGTGCCAATCGGGAGGCTCCGGTTCGTGCAGCAACGTTGCCCAGTGGGATGGCTGAGACCCTGAATCCGGAAGCGCTGCAACCTGAGCAACTCTATCTTTGGCTTCTTTGTTATCGTGCGTGTGGGTGTGGGTGTCTGCTGCACATCGTGGAGATCCAGAGATCCCCCGTCTTCAGCATCCTTAAGCTTTTGGCTGCCAGTAGGCTTCAGAGGACGATCTCTCCAAGTCCATGAACGTCTGCACACTGACACCCCTGGTTGAGAATCAAGCACGACGGCACTGCAAGGACTACCGGGAGCACTTGAACCAAAACCCTGACTCTACCATCATAGATCCATGGATCCGACATCGTGAAGCCCCGCAGTGAGCTCCGCCCCCCCGAAAGCGGAGCAGGACTGAGCGATTTCAGCCATCCCTGCCAAGTTGGAACAAATGATGCGTGCACATGCCATGTTCCCAGATCAAGGTTCGACAGTACTACTGCTTGCATCCATGTCAGCACAGCGCACGGGCTGTTCCCGGGTTCTCCCAGTGCTCAAACCACAGCTCCGTGCATTGCAACAAGACGGCTAAGTTGGACAGTTCCGGCCTCAGCTAGGTGCAGCTAGGTACGAGCTAGGTTTTCTGCTGATCACCCGCGGACCAAGCGACAATCTTCCTGCAGCGTGCTTTGGATCGCAATGGTCCTCGTTTTGGATGTCTTGCCATGGGAGCCAAGCGACTGGCCAAAAGCTTTCGCAACATCTCCATGGATGAGCACCACCGCTTTCGTGATTTTCCGTGGCATCGTTGCCATTGCGTTAGTGGGGCATGCGGTTGCACATTTCCTGACGTTCTGGCCGCAAGAGGATTGGTTTTATTTCATCTATTTTTCACGCTGGGTCACTGCATTGGAAGTCCTTGAAGAGATCCTGCACTTCGCCACCGTTTTTTGGGGGTCCAGGCGACTTCGCATTAGTGATACGTCGCAGAGCATCCCAGTCCTCGTGAAAGTGGTGATAGTGCTGTTCTCCATGGTGCTGCCCTCTTCAATCTTGTCTGCAATTTTGTACTACGCGTTTGCACCCTCGTTCCCGCCTCCAGTCCCATACGTAAGCCTCTTCGTCCACGGCGGCGACGTGCTTCTGCTTAACGTCAGTTTCTTTGCCAGCCGCTTCCCTTACACCTTCGGCAAATTTGTATGGGTGGCGGTTTTAGCCTGGAGTTTTGCTATCTGGACAGTGATCCATTTCTTTGCAAAGATTGGTCGGGATGATCGAGACCCTTGCGGACCCGAGTTACCTTTGAATGAATGCCCCATCTATGGCGAGCTGGATTGGCGCGACCCGCTCAAGACCGGCATTCTATTGGGCCTAGCCACATTGCTTGCACCGCCTGTCCTAGGCGGCCTTTATGCGGGATTGACATACCTGCGGGACAGGTGCGATCCCAGGGCAAAGGAGTTGCGTGAGAGGCAGTTGTTGGCACCTTATCTCAAGGAAGAAGGAGTTGACGATGCACCTGAGAAGCTCTCTCGTCCTTGCCTTGCGTGTGGGTGTTCATAGCTACCATGGGTGTGAAACATGCCCGCTTTGTACCTGGAGGAAAAGTAACATGAGTTCTGCCTGTCCAGGCTACCTCACCCGCATTCCCAAGTAAGTGTGTGCAATAGTCAACATCATTGACATTGCTAAGAGACAATGTAAAGTTTTACGCCTCTCCATCACAAAGCCTGGCCCAAGAAACTTTGGATGTTGATTGTTTTGCTCAGTGACTAGCGACGGCATGGAGAAAGCCAGAAACCGCGTGTGTCTGATCCTGGTTAGGGCTTTCTGCTGCTGTGCAAAGTATTCGGATGCTGAACGGGCGTAATTGAGAAGTGTGCATGCCTGGGACTTGAACTTTGCACGTCGCTTGTTTTTGCAGGCTCGGCTTAATGGTGTCGTTCATAGATGTGCATTGCATCGCAGAAAATCATCAAGATAGGGTAGCTACTCAGCAGCAGTTTGCCCCATGTTTCGGTCTTTTGCGGCTGCTGCTGTCAAACATCATGGGCATAGTCGGCATAGTCGACGGTTGCATGCTGACTGCTAGTTGCTACCATCGCTCTTTCGATAATCTTCATGGGCCACAAGTTGCTCTTTGTCCAAAACGATGGCGGTAACGTCGGAACAACGCCTACGTGCTTTGTTGCAGTCGGCACGCCCTAACTGGCGCTGCAAGGATGCAGATGGGGTGGGAAAGGGCTATATAAATGTATAATATAAACAGAATGTGATCTGATACTCTATATATGTATGTATATATATATATAAATATCTGTATATGTAGCATTGTGTAATATAGTATACTGTGATATAATAGAATGCTTTAGTTTGAGAGAAATTAACATCATAGAACATAATGTAGTATAGTATTGTATAATGCATCATAATACATAGTATAATGCAGAATATATAATGGATAGTAGATAGCGGATAATAGATAACAGATAATAGAGAGAAGAGAATGGATAATGGATAACATCTCATGAGTTTTATATTATATATATATCAGATAACAGCAGATAGCAGATAACAGATAACATAGATTATATTCTATATATAATGTACATCACCGGGACAAATGTTTCGACATACGGATGGTATTCTCAGTACACCATGAACATGTGCCGCTGAGAAGCGGGGTGGCTGCAGGTCGGCGCGGCGGAGTAGTAAATTTCCTGGAATAACATTATGCCGTTATATACAGGGAAAGGGGGTTCCAGTGCCTCACATGTTGAGATACAGCCCGCGTGGCGAACTTTTGTCCTGCGGTAGTCTGCGGTAGTATAATATATATGGCATAGTATATAACATATGAAATTTACCTAATATCTAATATGTAATTTGTAATTTGGAATATTTAATATAAAAAGCAGAAAGTTGTAATATGTAATATGTAGCATGCTATTTCTTTTGCAGAATGTGTAATATGTAACATGTAACCCATAATCTACAACTTACTTATCTATCTATCTATCTATCTATCGATACATATATATATATATATCATTGGTATATACATTTCAATACAAATCCATGTCTAATTAAATAAATAAACATATATAGAGACATACACACACACATACACACACACATATATATATATATGTATATATATATATACGTACATATATATATATATATACATATAGATACCTATGATCTGTAGATGCCTGTACGGCACTTCCAGGACATTGCGGCCGTCGAAGCGAAGTTGGGGCGTATTGGCCTCTTGCCCGGGCATGAGAGATTGATAGGCATGATTCTGCGTATGTCGTAATACTGTTTGGCAATAAGCCTGAGGGCCTGAGGGCCTCACATACGCTGATCTGGGCTGCCCATGTTTTCGCGATCGTTTGAGGCATCAGCAGCATTCCGGAATTGATGGTCGCACTCCAAAGCAAATCGGTGAATCAGCCGCTCGTCTGCGATTAAGTTCTCCATTGCGGGGTTGGACGTTTCGCGCTGTTTCGTGCAGGGCTTTGGAGACCAGCGGCCAGAAGCGGTTTGCGGCGGAGACGCTCCAAGCGCTGTGTGACGCTGCCGGCGTTGTGCCGAGGTGCGCGATGTGGCTGATCGGTCATTGATATTATTGTCCCCAGTGCAGTATGTGGTCCACTTGTTTTTTCAGGTAGTTCTGCTGTCACAACCGATTTGGTGGCAAGTCCATCTACGTGCAGAATCATGCAAAAGCCAATCCACAGGTTTTGGCACTCACGTTCATACTTTAGGGTTCTAAATTCTTCTATCCCTGCATCTCTTTCTCTAGCATTGCTTTCCGTCTACCTCTCTCTTCATGGCTCTCTCCCTTGTTCGCCTTTCTCTCCGTGTCTTTCTTCCGCTCTCTCTCTCTCTCTCTCTCTCTCTGTCTCTCTTTGTCTCCCTCTCTCTCTGTTTCTCTCCCTCCCGGTTGCCTCCCTACTCATCCGTTTACTTGCTGCAGCACATACACCCATGTGCCGGCAGGTCCGACTGCGCCGATGGGAAATGCAAGGCCAATGAGCCTCGCAAGCGGCGCAAGGGCCGCAAAGGTTCTGAACAGGCGCCATGCATCCGTGACACGGGTTTGTTTAGGGCGTCGGGAGAAGGAACCTCCACATCATGCCAGAGTTGCAGACATGCACGGCGCATAACACTACCGAATCCTACATCCCGAGGCAAAAAAAAACATAACTCACCAGATCCTGAACCGCCGATGGGGGCCCGGTTGGTTTGAACGTCTCCCACGCAGGTGCTCCCAGGCGGAGAGTGGTCAGATCTTGGTCCGGAAGGCTCCTCGGGGCTCCTCGAGTTTCGGATTCCTGCTTTGAAGTTTAGGGTTTGAGGTTTACGCTGGGACTTTGGGGCTATGACATCCTCGCTCATCTTGAGACCCAACCGCAGCATGCGTCATGGATCGTTGTTTTGAACCATTCCGAACTCTGTGCCTGAAGCAGATCGTGCTGCAGTGCTACTTGAAGCTGCCAAGATTGCCCAAGCAGCCTGCGAAGGTGGTGATGGACCGGAGAGGCCCTGCGTGCTTGTGGGCGATTGACTAGCCTTGCACCAACGAATGCCATGAGCACAGAACTTCCTAATGGATCACGTGCGGGAAATGCTGTGGTAGGGGTCTGCGTAAGACCCAGAAGAGCAGGTCGCCGGAGATGGCAAACGAAGCAGTTCCTGCTTACAGAGGCCTGAAACATGAGGTTGTCCCTAGACCCTAAAACATGTGCGAGTGTGAGAGTCGAAAAACACAATAAACCTCGACCCAGCATAGTAGCCAGCCTTGCGGACTCCCTCCAAGCTTAGACCAGACAGGGCTCGATATCTGTGACGAACACTTGAAAATCAGCCACATATTGCTCGTTGAGTAATGCGCTTCGCGGTACGACGTGCTTGTCCATTCTCTGGGCTTGGTTCCGAGACGTGCTCCTGCGCTCTCGGAGTCGGTTGTCAGCACTGCTTCGACGACATCTTGCCCCGAGTATGACCTGGGTATCATGCCTGGCATCGTGTCCCGCAGAGGCAAACTTCAGGAGAAGACTGCCACCGACTGGAAAGAGTTCTCGCCTTAGAGGTGCTGGATTTGGCGAGTTCTTGTGCTCACATAAAGATCCTCCCTGTTTTCGTGTCCTTCCCAGCATGGCCAGCTGCCAGATAGCCAGTTATTGCTGCCGAATTGTAAGCTGTTATTGCTGGGGTAAACATGAATTATGATTGCGGATGTGAGGAGGCAAAATCGGCTCCGTATCATATCAGGGTTGTCAGTTTAGGTGATGGTGATGAAAAGGTAGTAGTCGTGGTCGCCGTAGTCGGGGTGGGGGTCGTCGCAGTGAGCAGGAAATGGTTTGTGCTTCTCTTGTCCTGAACCTCGAACTGGTGTAGTCGTATGGTCTGTATAGCTGGTTTCCTCAGCATTCACATGTTCACTTTTTATTTATGGTGTTGTGTTCTCAGTGCCAAGCCAAGGCATCTGAAAATCGCAACGGAGCCAAGCTTGCGAGAAGAGTTCCTTGCTTGCAATTGCCAGGTCTTCCGTGAGTGTGCATGTACAGACCATCAAGTGGCATTGCGAGCCGCCCTGGCACATGCTGGCACTCTGTGTCAGACTCCAAATGCATCATAACCCGAAGCTTGTTCTTTTCAACAGGACAGCCCAGCTGACCTCCAGGTAGGCGTCGGGAACGTCATGACATTTCCGTAAGGATAAAGCCGGCTTTGTGGCCAGCCTCTTAAGGCAGTAAGCTTCACCGCCAAGACAATCCCCAACTGCGAATCTCGCATAGCTTTCCCTTATAAAACCCGAAATCCCTCCCTTCTGGTACGGATTGCTGCACAGATGCGGAGGTGTAGAAAGGCACTGGCTGCCCACAACCAGGCCTCCAGGGGTGGTACAGCAGAAAGTCAAAGTGCAGCTCCAGATCCCTGCGACACGTCTACACTTCACCTCTGGAATGCTGAGCTCAGAAGTGCAAGTCGGCCTAAAAGACACCTCAGCGTTGAACGCCTCTCAGGCTCTATCGCCGCTGTCGACAGCTTGGTGTCGCACCTCCACCGGGAGCGACAGGGGCGGAGTTGGCCCTGTTTCTGCAGGCGCTGCTGCCGAATCTTCATTTTTCGTTCCTGTGCGCCCGCGGAATACTGCCTTTCGAACGTACTCGAAATAGCTCTCAGTGATTATGGGCTGCTCTTCGGTCCGAAAGTTTGTGTGTGGGTGCCAGCACAATAGCATGTATTTCTGAGTGTTTTTGTGTTTGTTAGCTGGCTTGTTGTATTTTTTGTTTGGTTGGTTGGTGGGTGCAGCGAGAGAGAGCGAGAGAGAGAGA